TTTCTTTTTATTCTCATAATAAATAAAACTATTTTATTAAAAAAACAAAAAAATTATAATAAGAATTTTTTATAATATTAATATATAAAATTAAGAAAAAAAAAAAAAAAACTCCGAGACCGGGAATTGAACCCGGGTCTCCTGCGTGACAGGCAGGAATACTAACCACTATACTATCTCGGATTTCATATTATTAATGAACTAAAATAATTACATAATATCAAATAGGATTATTATATTTATGATATATTTATTTTTATTATTTTTTTATAATAGTTCAATAAATATGTGTTTATTACATATTTAATTATATAATAATATTAATTTATTATTTATAAATATTTTCTTTTATTATTATTAATTATATTAGAATTAATAAAATATTTATATTTATGCGTATTTTTATACTATTTTTTGGGCAAAATATATTATTATAAAGGATTTTATAAAGTATTATAATATAAATAAGGAAAGTTATGAATTTCTGTTGTAGTTTTTTTTAGAATGTAATATTAAGAATTGTAAAAATATAAATTAATCAAAAAAATGTTATGTTTATTATTAAACATGAAAATATATTATTAAAAGCATTTTTTTTGGAATGATTTACTATTTTTAAAAATTAAGAAGAATGTTAGATTTCAATAATTAGTTTGTTCCGAATTTTTAATGTTAGAAAAGCCTACAAAAATAAAAAATTATCACAGTACAAAACTAAATTATTGAAACTTTATGCTAATAAATGCAAAAATATATTTTTAGATTTAAAATATTTAGTTTTTTATCTTAAGATATAGTTTAATATCGTGAATATAGTTAAAGTATTTTTGAAAAAACGAGAAGGACAAAGATTAATTCAAGCAAAAACAAGAGATAGTAAATTTTGTTTTTGGGAGAATTATTATTTGAAATATTATCATATAAAAATTAAGTGGAATTAATTAAAATTATATGGGAAATATTACATACTTTATAGCAAAATTCGAAACATCATTAAATAATTATTATAAGAATTTCCAAATAAAAAGAGGAAGTTATGATAGAATGCTTAATTAAATTTAAATAAATATTGTAGTAAATAGTAATATAGGGATTATTAAATGTAGATGATAAAAGTTAAAGGAAATAAGTTAATAAGAATTTTAATAAATTGTAGTTTTGGAAATATGAAAAGTCGATTATTTTTGGAAAATAAGTTAAGTTAATTAGTTTTGTTTCGAAATTTATTAAATTAATTAATTTTTAAAGAAAGATATGGATATATTTTGGGTAGTTTGAAGGAAAAATTTATTTTTTGACTTTTATGAATTTTTTATTAGGGTTAGATCATCTTATTATAAAAAAATTTTGCATAAAATATTTTATATTAATATGCATTTTTTAATTTTTTTTATGTCTTAAATATTTATTTTTTTATAAATAAAATTGTATTAAATAACATCTAATAATTTTTTAAAACTTTTTGATTAACAACCTATTATAAATTTTATATGATCTATATAAATCAATAATTTTTTATGTTTTTAAGCTTAAAGTTAGAAAATTTAATAAATAAATAAGCAACAAATGAATTATATTAAATAAAAATAAAGTTTTTAATTCAAAATTAATATCATATATAGAAATTGTTAAATACATTAATTAATTAAAATAATGCAACTTATTATTAAATATTTAAATATATATACAATTTATTTATACGATAAATTTTTAAAAAATATAATTAATAATTATAAACTTTATTTATTATTAATTATTAATGATATATTGCTATTTTTATTTTATTATATATTTTTTTTAAAAAAAAAACTCAATAATAAAACTTAGTAAATATCTGTTAATTTTATAGATTTATAATCACCTCCTAATAAGTTAAAATCAAATTTATTTATATTTTTATACATAGAAATAGGAATATATTATTTCAAATATTTACAATAGTTTTTAATTTGTAATTAAAGAATGAGATTTTTTAAATATAATTCTTATTATATTTATGCTGATTGCTTTAATTTATTTTTCAAATATGTTTAATGTAAATCATTTAGCCTCTTTTTTTTATTTGTTGTTAATTTTTTTATTATTTGGTTATTTAATAAAATTTAAGTAAAAGTTGATTTTTATAAATCATATTTATTAAAAGATATTTTTTTATTTATTTATTTGAAATATTAAGTATTATCTAATAATATTCTATTATATAACTATTATCTTATATAGTTATAGATTAAATTAAAAAAATCTTATAAAATAAATTTATCTCTAAATTTTTTATAATTTATATTTAAAAATATTTTTTTGAATATTTTAATTTATTATTTAAAAATAAATAATAACAGATTATATTTTTTTGTAAAATATAAAAATATAATCAATGAATATATAAAATAAAAATAATTAATAAAATGTACAAACAAAACAAATATTAATTCTTATATTATTTATAAATTTTATTGATATTTTGATGTATTTTAATAATAGTTAAAATAATAATAAAGTCTTTGCAATTTATATTAATCTGTTATTACTTTTTATTATTCTTAGCAATTAAAATTTGTTTATTTTAAATTAATTAAAATTAATTTTTTATTTAAATTTTTAATAAATATAATTTTTATGATTTATTAAATTAAGCATATAAAATATATAATAATAGAAACTTAATATATATTTTATATATATAAAATAATATCTTATAATTTTTTTTTAAAATTAAAATATAAAATAAAATAAAATAAGATAAATAAAATACATATTAATTAAATAAAAAAATAATAACCTAAAATTAAATTATTTTACATATATAAATTATTAAAAATAAAAATAAAAATATAATTTAAAATTTAAATTTGATATATAAATTTTATAATAATAGAATTCTCAAAAACAGAAACAACATTAGAAAAAATTAGAAAAAACTTATTATTTTTTATCATTAGAAACATTAATATTATTTTAATTATCTTCTTTAATATTTTATATTTATTTTATTTTTTGCATACTATTTTTTTTCCATTTCTCGATATCGAATTATAAATCAATATATTATTTATATTCTATATTTTATGTAGTACAAACAACATCCAAATACCTAATAGAAGACAAAGTAAAAATCTCTAAATAAAAATTTTCTATTTCATGAATATAATTAATTACAATATCAGAAACTCTTAATTTTGAGTTAGGAAAAACAGGATTTTCAGTAAAGCTTACTTAATTAATTAATTATTACATTTTATAGAAAGATTATATTATATCATTTATTAATTATCCTGCTTTTAATATAATTTCCTATTTTTTATTTGCGTCCGATAAACCTGCAAGAATTTCAATTAGTTTTGTTTATTAAAGCTTTATTAATTTGGATTTTATATAATTTTTATTCTATTCTATAACTGTTAATTAATTTAATATAAAACTTTAGTAATCCCACTCATTCTATGTAGATATTTCAAAAGTTGATGATGAATTTTACATTTTTTTATAAATTAATATAGATTATTAAAAAATTTTTTATTATATAAAATTATTAATTTTTTTAATTTAAAAATAATAATTTTATATAAATAATATAAAAAAAAAAAACATAATGAAAAAAAAAAAATATTATAAATGTGTAGAGTTTAATTGTAAATTTTTTTAAAGTAAAATATTTGATTTTATAAAAAAAAATTGATTGTGAAATAAATTAAAAAAAATAAAATATAAGATTATAATAAAAATCTTTAAAATAAATGTTATAGGAATATTTTTGTTGTTGTTGTTATAGAATAATTAAGTATAAAAATAAATATATAAAAAATTGTCGTAAATTAAAAGAAATAAAAAAAAATTAGGTAATAATAATTTAAAATAATAAATAGATATATAAATATAATATCAAAAATAATAAAAAAATAAAAAAAATAAATTTATTTTAATAAGTAAATATTAATAAAGAGATTAATATTTAAAAATCAAAAATAAATAAAAATTAAAATATCATATTAATTATGAAAATATTTTGAAAAATAAAAATTGTATTTAAATTAGAATCTAAAATAAAAAAAATTATTTAAATAAAAAAATTAAATTAAATTTAAAAAAAAATAAAAAAAATCTAAATTTAAAAAATATTAAAATGATATAAATATAATTGTCATTTAATTTAGTAATCATAATCTTGTTCTAAATATTTTTAATAATTAAAATAGCTAACTTGCACTGTTCTATTGGAGAAAAGTCTTCCATTAAGATACTATAAATATATATATATATATATATATATATATATATATATATATATATATATATATATATATATTTTCGCTATAAATATATCTTTTTTATAATTTTTATATATTCAAAAAATGTGTAATTACTCTTCTAGCCTCTCTTGCTGCTTCAATAGATTCATATTCAACGTAAATTTTTCCTTTTCCTAAAACATGTTCTTTTCCAGCTTTAACATCATCTACAGAAGGTCTTGGAATAGCAATACTAACCACTTTACCATGCTTAGAACATTCATCTTTAACATCTTCTTCGATTTATTTATATTCTTCATCGATAATAAGTTCTCCATCATTTATCATATTTTTCAAAACTAGGACTTATGTTGGTACTTAAATTTTTATATTAATAATCTAAGAAGGTATTTATTTAGAAGGATCTAATCCTGGAATTCCTGATAGGGTTGCATTTTACACTAAAGGAATATTTGTTTGAGTATTTATTTAAGGAATTATAGGTTGTTAAAGACTTCCTATAAAATCAAATAAAAATCATTAATTTTTACATATATATATTAAAACTTACCATTTAATAATATACTATTAGCAAAATTTGCAACAGGATTTAAATTATTTAATATATTATTAGGAGTATTAATTATATTTTGGTTATCAACAGGACTCTGTATAATAGCTGTGTTTTCTAATGTGTTTGGTAATATTTAGCCTGGATTTAATAAATTCAATATATCTAATTGGCCATTTTAATTAAATCCTGTAGTTACTGCTGGTTTTGCTTATGGATTTGTTGTTTTATCTTATTATATATATTAAGTTGGACGGCCTACTTTTAATTATTGGCCTAAAATTTATACACTACTTAATGAATTTAATGCTCTTGTAGCTTCATCTGCTGATCTAAATTCAACAAATCCATAATTTCCTATTTTTATTTTTTAATGATATTATTTATTTTTATTTAATTTTTTATTTACCTTCTTAACTTATCCATGTACTTACACATGATTCTGTTAACTTTTTTTCATTAAAATAAAAATATATTATTTATTTATTTTACATTCATTTATCTTAAAGCAACATTAATCATTCTTGTTAACTTAATAGATTTTATTATTATAATTATTTATTTATTTTTTAAAAAAATTAATATTTACATTATCAGTAGTTACACCAGCAGGAATATTCCCAACATAAATTTTTTTATCACATTTTTATGATTAGAGATCCTATTATACTTTATTCTTTTAAATTTATAAAAATATATTCTTTAGTTCAGGCTTTATATTCGGATTATTTAATATATCTGCAAAATCTGCGCCTCCTAATCCTGGTAGAAGCTAAGAAGTAATCCCTCCTGCTTATTATTCTTCTGGAACAAATTATTTTGGGGGAGAATCAAATCGATATCTTTATATTATTATTTTTTTTGTTCAAAATTATAATGTTTTTATTTTTGTTTTTTTCATACACTACATTCCCCTTTTTATGAGGAGAAGGTGAATATTTTCTTCCTTTGTGTCTATTATAAGAATTTGATCTGTTTTTTTCTTAACTTTTTGATTTACTATATTATTTTATCTTTTTTTCTAGGGACTTATCTCTTTTTTTATTTATTTTTAAAATTTTAATATTTCTATAGTTATTATAAACCTCTTTTTTTTATCTTTTTTATCTTTTTAATGCCTGCTTTCTCTATAATCATTTTTATCTCTTTTGTCTTTTTTTCTTTTTATCTTTTTTATCTTTTTTATCCTTCCTATACCTTATATTATTTAAATTTTTTATTATAATTCTTTATATATTAACTCTTTGTAATCTGAATAATAGTTATCCCTATCCATTTTTTTGTTTTTTTTTGCGTATTTTATATATAAATAAAAATATTATCTTTTTAAAATATAAAAAATAAAAAATATAAGAAAATATTCTTTATATATACATAGTTTTAAAATCAAAATTATTAAAGTAATTAGTAAACATATTTTTACACCTAAAAAAAGATATACAAATAATAAAATGTTAGTTAAAAATCTCAAATATCAAACTTTATAAACTATTACTTAAAAATAATTATAATAATCATAAATGAATAACATAAACATAAATGAATAGCATATATTATTATATTAAAAATAATCATAAAGTTTATATAAACTTAAATAAGAAAATTAATCAGGGTTCTATATTATTATAAAACTTAATAAAAAAAATTGTATAAATTAAATAAAATTAAATAAATTCATAATAAATATAAAAAATAAAAATAAAATATAAAAAATTTAGAATTTCTAAAACTTAAAAATAATCCAAAGTTAAAAAAAACAAACAGTTTAATAAAAAACATTTCAAAAAGAAGCAAATTATTAAAATTATTAAAAAATGACGAAAATATTATTTTAGTAAATAATTTAAGCAATTTAATAATTTGATAAAATTAATAACTATTTAATTAAAAATGTATTAAAACAATTCTAAGAGTAATTGAGTTTAATTTTAATCTTTTATTTATTAATTAATTTTTTTAAAAATTTGCATTTTACTTTTAAATAGATTTAAATATTTTAAAGCCTTTTTTATTAAATAAAAATTAGAAAAACAAATATTAATTTTAAATATTTATTTATATAAAAAAATAAAATTATAATAATTATTTTGTTTATTTAAAAATAAAAATATCGTATTTGTGATGGGACTTAAGTTTAAATTTAAAAGGAATCAATAATTTTTTTATACTATTTTATTATTATGTACCAAACCTTTAATATTTAAATATTATTCAAAAATTTTTAATAACAATAATTAATCAAATTTATCATTTTTTTATAAAATATTTTTTAAAGAAAATAAATATTGTAATTACTGTAAGTAAAATAAATTAAATTCTTAATAAATTATAAAATATTAAAAATAATAATTTTTTCATATTAATTAATTTATTAAAAATAATAGTTTTTTTTTATTTAAAAAAATCACTAATTTATTTTATCAAAAATTTAATATTTTGACTTTAAAAATATAGAATATTTATTTTATAAATATTATAGTTTTAAAAGAAAAAGCTATATGCTTAATAATTTATTTAAACTAATTTTAAAATAAGTTTATATAATTAAATATAAAAACATTTTCTCTATGTTCAATTAATATTTAAGTTAAGATTATTGAAATAAAAAATAATCAACTTAACTTAAAATATAGAAGGTAAAAATACAAAAGATTAATTTTTTTTTTTTTAAATCTAGGCAGGCTTAGATTGACAACTTTTTTATTCTAATTTTATAAAAAAAAGAAAAATGTAAATTATCAAGGAATTAGTTAAAATATTTTAAAATAAATTTATATTAATAAAAATCAATATTTATAAACTTATGATTAAAATTAATTTGTAATTAATGAGAATTAAATAAAATAATTAAAAATATTAAAAAATTGAATATATAAGATAAAAATGTTAATTTAATTCATATATTATATCAAATATTAATATTATAAATTTAATTTTAACCATTAAGTAAAATTATGAATTTTTAAAATTTTATTGAAAAAATAATATATTTTATATTAAATTCTAATATGTTTTCTATTAAATGAATATTTAGCAAATAAATAAATAAAATAATAAATTAATAAATAAAAAACATATAAGATAAATGCTTATTTGATATTATTTATATTTAATTAAAATACTTGTTTTATAAATATTATATTATATTTTTTTTAGTTTTGATTTACATATAGCATTAAACTATTTTTCAAACAAACCAAAATTTATTTTAAAATTATAATATGTCCAATATTGTTTTAAAATTATAAATAATATTTTTAAATTCAAAAAATATTTAAAATTTATTTATTTCAATAAAATCAAAAAATAATAAAAACTATAAATACTTATTTCGTTATATTTATTTTTAATTATTAAAAAAAATTAATTTTTTTTATTAAATATAAAAATAATTAAAGAAGCTGACTGTAATATAAATAAATGCAAAATAATTAAGAAAATCAGCAAGAAAAGCCTAAACCAGAAGAATAAAAGTAATAACACCAATAATAATAAGTAAAAAAAGAAATAAAAATTTCTACCGCAACAAAAGATCGAGCAGATGCAGCTAGATTATATATAGAAAGTATATATAAAAAATAAAATTAAAAGAATATTAATTATAAAACAATAATATTAAAAAGGAAAATATGCCAAAATGTTACAAAAAGAAATTGAAAATAAAGAGTATTGGATTTAATTAAATTAAAAATTGTAAAATATGTAATTTACTCCGTAAGAGTAAATAATCATAAAGCATAATATAGCTCAAAAAGAATGCGAAAATCTTCGAAAATTGTAAAAACAAATAATCCTAAATAAAAATAATTTATTTGATTTTTTTTAAAAAAAGGCGAGTAAAAAAATCCACAAAAGATTATGAATCTCTAAATATAATTGGAAGAGGAGCTTTCGGCGAAGTAAGATTATGTCAAGATAGATAAACATAAGAAATAGTAGCAATAAAAAGGATGAATAATAAGACATGAGTACAAAGCATAATTAGGTCATATAAGATCAGAAGAGATGTATTATCAACAAGTGGAAATCCATGGATAGTAGAATTAAAATTATCATTTTAGGATGAAAAGTATTTATACTTAATAATGTAATATATGCCAGGAGGAGGTAATTTATAAAAAGAAAATATAAAAATATAATATATTATATAGATTTGATGAATGTATTAATAAAAAAGGATATTTTATCTGAAAATGAAGCAAAATTTTATATAGCAGAATTAGTATTAGCAATAGAATCAGTTCATAAAATAAATTACATACATAGAGACTTAAAACCAGATAATATATTAATAGATATAGATGGTCATTTAAAGCTTTCCGATTTCGGATTATGCAAATAAACAGAAATTAAACCATAAATATTATTTGGAAAAAAAGATTTTAAATTAGATGAATTAGAAGCTATTAAATCCAATCCAAATATACTATTAACCAAAAGGCCTATAAATTATAAAAAGAATAGACATGTTTTATATTATATTATTTTTTTATTAATTTTATATTTTTATTGTTTTTTTTTTTTAAAAAAAAAAAAAAGTTGGCTTTTTCAACTGTAGGTACTCCAGATTATATAGCACCTGAGGTATTTGGATAAAATGGGTATACAGAAACTGTTGATTGGTGGAGTTTAGGAATTATTTTATTTGAAATGTTAGTTGGGTATCCTCCTTTTTATAGCGAAGATCCTCCATTAACTTGTTAGAAAATAATATAATGGAAAAGAGTATTTTAAATTCCTACAGAAGCAAATCTATCAGTCCAAGCCGAAGATTTAATTAGAAAATTAATTTCAGATTCCTCCGAAAGATTAGGTAGAAATGGGGCTATGGAAATTAAAGTACATCCTTTTTTTGCAGGAATAAATTGGAAAAAAATTAGAGATATGAATCCTCCATATATACCTGAGCTCAAAAATAAATACGATATAAGTAATTTTGATAAATTTGAAGATTAAGGTGATCCATGGGAAAATCATGAAAAAAAAAAGATAATGGAAATATTCATATTAACAGACATTTTTTCGGATATGAATACAATAGATAAAATGAAGAAAGATAAAGTCCTATTCGAATAGCTTTAGATACTTTATCAAATACAAGAACTAATTAATCTCCTAAAAATATTGATGATGTTTCTATTTTATTTATTTTTTATTGATTTTATATAAAATTTTTAAATAATATAAATTAAGCATTCAAGATAAAAAAATGTATCACCATTACCTTAATAAATAAAAATAAGCAATTCTATATTAAATAATAAAAGTAAAATATAAGATGAAAGCGTTAAAGTATATGCATATAAAAATATGAATTTTTAATAAAATAATAATAATAATTTTTTATAATAATAAACATCATAAAGCCCAGGTATAAATAGTAAATAAAACAAAACAAACAAAAATTTATAATAAATAAATATAATAATAATAATAATAATAATAATAATAATAATAACAATAATAACAACTGTTTTAATAATAATTTTAATAATAGTAATAATTAAATTTTTAAATTTTACAAAAATATAATAATTAAAAATGGAATTAATCATATTTCTCCTAAAAACCTTTAAATGCCTAAATATGGATACAACTTTTTAGCTAATAAAAATATGACTAACACTAGCAATAATTCTTAAAGAGGTGATAGTTCTTAAAGACCTGGCTCTCCTAAAGTGAAATAATGAAACTATTTTTTTTATTTATTTATAATTATTTTAAGGAATATATTCAATTTATAAATATTTTTTTTATAAAATAAAAAATTATTTTTAATATTATTAATTTTTCTGTTTATACAATTTTGTAAAACTATTTTATAGTAAAACTATTTTAAATAAAAATTATTTATACTTTTAAATTAATGGAATAAATTTAAGTAAATATAATAATGAAATACTATAATAAAAAATATTAATATAAAAGGACAATTAAAAAATAGAATAAATTAAAAATACTTTATTTTAAAATGTTTAAATGTAAAAATAAAATGAAGTAATATATTTAAAATATATTTACAATATTAAATTATAATTTTTAAATAAATGTTGCTTTAAAATAATTAAAGTTAATTTTAAAGAAAATGGATGTTCATTAATAGCTTGAATATTTAAGAAAAATTTATATTGAACATGATTAAAATAAGCAAAGAAAATTTTAAACAGATTATTAAATTAAGTCAATTAAAATAAAACATTTAAAAAGTTAACCAATATTAAGGGTTCATAATATAAAAATTATTAAATTTTTAAATTAAAAAAATCAAGATATCTTAAACTTAAAAATTATTAAAAGAAAACAAAATAAAAAAATATAAATAATAATCTTAACAAGAATAAGAAAAAGAATAATTAAATAAAAGTATTTTAAGAGATCATAAAAAAAAACAGATTTAAATGAATTATAGAAAATAACATAAGATAAAAATTAAATTAAGAGTATTTAATAAAATCAATTAAAAAATAAAATAATATAAGTAAAGATATAAAATTTTATAAATATTTTAATATTTTAAATAATAAAAAGCACAATGAAATAAATTAAAATGAAAAAAAAAAAAAATCAATAATAAATTGGAATTAATTTAATTATAAAAAAGTAAAATTGAAGAATAATATTTTAAATATATAACCCATAAATTCGAAGAAAAATAAAAAAAACTTAGCTAAAATTATAGGTTTTTTTAATTTATGAAATATTTGTATTATAAATTATAAACATAGTTTGTTTAAAACTATTAAGAAAAATTAAAATAACATATTTAAAGCTAAAATATATTAAAAGAATATAATACTAAAGATAATTTAGAAAAAATCTAATTAAAAGAAGAAAACAGAATATAAAATATTCTTTAGAAGCAAGAAGTATATAGAATAAAAGCTAACTTTAGAGAGTAAAAATAAATATAATAAATTTTTTTGATAATAATTTATAAAATATAGATTTAAAAATAATTAATTATAAAGCATAAAAGAAAACTAATAAAAAAAAATATATAAAATAGAATAAGAAAATAAATTGTAATAAATTGATATTACAAATCAAATATAAAATAATTTAAATTAAAAATAGCAAGGTAAAAAATAAAAATTAATTAAATATTTTAATTTTATTTTTAAGAATGAAACATAAATAAGTTTGATTTTTTATAAAAATAAAATAAAAATGAATATTATTTTAAAATAAATTATTGAATTATAATATTTTTATTAGAATTAAAAAATTAATATAAATACATAATATTTTATTTTATAAATATATATTTTTAATTTAATAAATAAAAAATATAATTACATAATAAATATTACTCTATATTTTAAACTTTTATATAAATTCAATAATTTTATTATTTAATATAAATATTAATTTTTATAAGTAAATAAAGAATACTTCTTTTTATAATACTAAAATCAATTAAAATTAAATTTTATATTATTTAATTATTTCTTTTTATTTAATATATATATGTTTATATTTAATTCTATAATAATACAATCATATAATAATTATTTTTATAATCTTTTTTTAATAAATATAGTTAAAAATAGTTTTATTTATATAAATTCAATATTTAATAACTAACCATGTTTTATTATTTTATAAAAACGAAATATAAATTTATTTTATATTTTAAAAATATAATTATAATTAGAATACTTTAATTAAAATTATATTATATTATTTAATAAATTTATTTCTTTTTTTTTAATACATTTTAAAAAAATAATAAAAAATACTTTATAAATTTTAAAATATTAATAATAAAAAATCAGATAATTTTTTTTGAATTTAGATTTTAAAATGTAAATTAGTCAATTAAATTTTATATTTTTAATTCATCTCCTTCTTCTTCTTCGTCTTCGTTTTATCCATCTTTAAAAGAGCTAAGACAATTAATTAAAAAGTCAGTATTTTTGTCAAAACTTTCAAGTATTTACTTTACTTAAATACCATATTATTTTATATTAAATTCATTTATAATTGAAACTCCGTATTAATTTTAATTGTTTTTATATAATAAAGAATATATGTTTTAAATTTTCAATAATTCAATTTTTTACTTAATATTTCCTACATAATTAGAAATAATAATATTAGAATTGTCAAATTTAAAAAAATTAATTTGAGTATTATAACATTAGCTAAGAAATTTTAAATGTGTTTCAGTAAAAACTTCATCATTTTAAATAATACTTAATAAGAAATCCTATTTATTTTAATATTAATTTGAAGAACTTAATAATAAATACTAAAAATATTATAAATCTAAATCTTTAATGTACTTAATAAGGTTTTCTTTTATATAATTAATTAAACCAATATCAAATTATTAATTAATATCAATTAAATAATTAAGTTATTCTATTGATTTTTCTACTTTGTTTTACAAAAAATATTATATTTGTTAAACAAAATAATCTTTATATAAAAACTCCATTTTTTAAAAACCTATGACATCAATAATTTATTATAATTATTATATATTTTATTCATATATTATATTTTCTATATATTTAAAACCAAAACATCTATATCCTGTATTCTTTTCTGAATTAAATTTTTTTATTTCAGAAAATCCTTTATTTTATAATTATTCTATTTAATTTTAATTTAAATATTTTGTTTCTGAAAGTTATTATATGCTTATTTTATTATTTTAAATGCTTTGTATATTATTTTATATGCTAAATAATTAATCTAAAAATTAATTTCCTTTTATTATATTATATTAGTTGTTTTCCAAGTTTATTTTTAACTATTCGAAATTGTACAAAAGTTTCTATCTTTAAGGATGTGTTAATGTAACTTCTTCAAAAAATGTTTGAAATGAACTCATTAAATTTTATATTTCTTCACTTTTTGTATATAAATTCATTTTTTTTTTTTAAGAATTTATAAAAAATAAAATATTTTATATAAATAAAAATATTATTTTTTTAAAAAAAAATTATTTTATATGTAAATAAAATAAGTAAAACAAAGATTCTAAAATCGTATATAATTTATCTTGGTAAATTTTTTTCACACATGTCTTATTTTTTAGTTTTTTTTTTGTAATATAATATTATTAATTTAATTATTTTATTAAAGATTTTTTATTTAATAATTTTTAATTAACATAATTATTTTTAGTCAAATAAAGTTTTTATTTTTTAACATATTGTCAATAATATTTGTTGAAATGTACAATTTATTATATGATATTGAATATCGTAATTTCAAGTAAACAAAATATTATAATTTTTTTTTAATATTTTAATATATTAGTTATTTATTTATAATTTACGATAAAAAGAGATAATTTTATTTTTAAATACTTGTTATTATAATATAAAAATTAATATCTTTAATTTGATATAGTTAATTTATAACGATTTTAATATTATTTTATTTATTTTTTTGTTATAGGTTTAAATATTTTGATTTCGCAAACTTTATTTGATTTAATAATGGTTCATATTACAATATAAATATTTATTAGTTATTATTTTTGGTAATTTTTTTTTTTTTACTATTAAGAATTTTAGTCCTTAAATTTAAATTTTATTGTTCATTAATTTAATTTTTGTTCTTTCTTATAATATATTATTATTTATTTATACTTTATATTATTAAAATATTCATTTACTAATGAAAGGGTTTATATTTAATATTACTATTTTATTTCTTTTTTATATCATTATTTTTTTCTTTTTCTGAAAATACTTACTATATTGCTTTTTTATTATTAGATTTTATATTAATTTAATTCATTATTATCTATAGTTTTTAATAAATTTAATTATAAATAAAAATATTCTTTTATAATAAATATGTCTATTAAAAATATAAATCTAAGAAAAAATTATAATATTAATTTCTATTTTAAATAATTATTTATAGAAATGTTGATATTATTTGTTCATATTACTTGTTTAAAGGTTTCATTTTTTTCTGTAATATTTTTTTAAAACTCTATCAAAACAAAAAATTGTAATTAATTTTTTTTTTATTAATTGGGTTTTTAAAAATTATTACATCATAAATTTAAACAAGCAATATTATATATAAATTAATTAAGGAAATTTTTTTTTAAAAAAAAGTTTTATTAGAATATATTTATTTTTAGTTATTATTATTTAAATTTGATATATGGATCTAGATTTAAAATCATATACTTACTAGCATTTAAAATACACTCATTTTATTAATTATCTTGAAAAGGTTTAATTTCAAAAATATTATTTTACTATATTTTAATTTTAATTTTAGTTTATTTATTTATGTCATATTATTTATTAATAATTAATATTATATGTAATATT